CCTTGGTTTGTTGACACTGTAACATAGCAGGAACATAAGGACTATTCATCCTTGATTTGCTGGTACTATTAATATCAACTGTAAAAAAGTTATTTGGCTTTTGTCCATGTTTTTAACCATATGTTGTATTTAGTTTTCGGAAACCATTCCTACAGGTGGTGGGACCTGCGTGTTAGCTGTCTGAACTTAGATCCTCCTTTAACTGTTCTTCCACACATGAGCTGCCAGGATGCCATTGACATAATGAACAAAGAAGGATTTGACCAACTCCCGGTCGTGGATGAAACAGGGTAGGTCTATACAATTACAGAGGGATTTGTTACTCTGTATTGAAATACTTTTATATTCCTAATCATTTGGTTATTTAAATGTTTTTCCTGATAATACTTATCATTTTTTATATTACTGTGTGATACTTCATGATATAATTTGAATTGATTTACACCACTGTTATTTAGTTGGTATACTCCTCATTCTGTGAACTGCATATTCCTATCCTGTTCGTAATCTAATTTTTAAGTTTGTATAGAACTTTTATAGTAGAAGTAACACGTAAGGTTGAATTACTGTTCATTGATAGCCAAGGGTAGAATTGATTATTAACAGAATGCTTACTTTGTTTATTGATTACACAGGCCTGTGATGGTTTTATTGTCTTGAAATATTTACATGTTCTACAGTAATTCCTCTATGCTGAATATATGAAAATGGTATCCATTTTTCTCCATCACGTACAGATTTTTCACAAAATGTCATATGTACTTTTACATAAGTGAATCATTTTCGTTGAAATCGGGTCACACTTTGTTATGCTTAAAATGTTGACAACCACTGAATGTAGATTTCTCTAGACCAATCATGATGTGAGAGTCTTATCGATAGTTCTAGAACCCATGAGAAACACACCGCCAGTTAACAGGCCACGGTTAACAGGCCACACGACGTGTCATTTATGGATAGTATTTGTTTGTGTGTGAACTTTGACATAATTTTTTTTCTTTTCAATATTATTTATTCATTGCTGTGGCAACAAGAGGTTGTGTAAATGACCCAAACGTATTCTGTTATATTTGTGGCAAAACAAAATTCGTCAAAGTGTGTTACACATATTTTCATGTTCTTTATTCCTTTTTTTATGTTTTCAGAGTTGTAAAAGGAATGGTCACTCTGGGCAATCTGATGGCAAAGATTTTAGCTGGAAAAGTGACAGGCACAGCCCGTGTTTCTGAAGTGCTTTACACGCAGTTTTTCAAAGTAAGTTATTAATTAACTTGATGTATCTAAACATTAGATATATGAAGCAGTATAAGCCATAGCCATCAAATTAAATATAATAGAATCTGTAGCTTAACATTTGTAGGTTTTGAACATAGTTATTTATGATAAAATAACCTGTACAACATGATTTTCAATGTCTCAAGTATGTAATATTTGGTAAGCTAACCTGTACAACATGATTTTCAATGTCTCAAGTATGTAATATTTGGTAAGCTAACCTGTACGATATGATTTTTAACATCTGAAGTACTTAATGTTATGTACTTTAGCTTGTACAACATGATTTGATGTATAATATGATCTACTAAGCTATACAGATAGCTATATAATATACTTGATTAATTTAAGTATGAATGTAGCTAAATGTGCCAAGTTGTAGGTTGGTGTTAAATATACACAAGTATATAATTAGAGGTTGGATGTCAAAGGTTATCTGTTTGAGTATTTGTGTGTGTATATATATATATAAACTTGCATACACACTTGGGTTAACAGTTGGATAAAGTTTCCCGTCTTTCCATTTTTTATAGTTGCCTAAATCATGTAGATGTTGAATGTTATGATGTATATTACTTTAAGATAAACATCTGAGTATTTTTTACTTGTATCGCCTACTTTTTTATGTTATTTAAATCTTCCAAAATACTATTAAAATATTGTATTCATGCTTTCTGTTCCTGAAATAGATTTCTTTTTATCATATAGATTACTTTAGAGACATCACTTGGCAGACTGTATCGTTATCTGGACAAAGGTCATTTTGCTCTGGTAGTGCACGAACAGAAGCAGTGTAAGTTTTTTAATTTTGTTTATTAAAGAAGAATGGAGAGTAAATTTATTGTAGATGACAAAAAATAATTGTTATATATGTGGATGATGTTAAGTGGTAAAAGTTAACAATGTACTTAACATTCTACTGCACAAATTGTAGTACATAAAAGTTAACAATGTACTTAACATTCTACTGCACAGATTGTAGTACATAAAAGTTAACAATGTACTTAACATCCTACTGCACAGATTGTAGTACATAAAAGTTAACAATGTACTTAACGTCCTACTGCACAGACTGTAGTACATAAAAGTTAACAATGTACTTAACATCCTACTGCAC